GGGGCCCTTTCTCCCAGACTCCCTCTCTAGGGCCGGCCGCGGGACTCCGGGGCCCTGGCCTCGCTCCCGGAGCAGCCGGCCTTCAGGGCTGTGTGCCGGACCCTGCCATGTGCTGGCTGGTCGTGGACCATCCCGCTGGCTGCGAGTGGGAACAAGGCCCCAGCGGGGTGGGGGGCCCAAAGCCCGGCTGGGCCTCAGCTGCCGAGGTGCTGCCTCCAGAACCCTCACGGTGAGCTCACCTCACGTCTGTCCTCTCCTGCAGGCTCCGAAGTTGGCCGAGACCTACTGCGTCTGCCACCTGGCAACTGGGGACATGCTGCGGGCCATGGTGGCCTCGGGCTCCGAGCTGGGCAAGCGGCTCAAAGAGACCATGGATGCGGGGAAGCTGGTGGGTAGCAGGGAGATGTGCTGGGAGGGGATGTGGTCTGCAGCACCTGGAATGAGAGCAGTCAAAATCCACCTCTTAATTAGAAGCCTTAGTGGTAAAACTCGATTAGTGGAGGAAGGGCAGATTGTAGGGTGAAGGCAGGGATGTGGGTTCTCCTTTTCATTATCCTGCAGGAGAAACATCCTATAAAAACATTGCTGCTCTTCAAAATAGCTCCTTGCTTCCCAGCAGCCTTGCTGTCCCTGGGCTGGTTCTTTCTACCATGGTGCTTTTATGTTCACGGGGTGCAGCCTGGGTTGTGGCTCCTGAATACTGTTTGGAGGTGAAGGTTTATCCTTGGAGCTGCAGGATGTTACAGTTGTGCTGTGCGGCTCCTGTGTCTCTTCACGTGATGTTTGGACTCCTGTGGGGTGGAAGAGTTTGTTCAGAGGATTCATCGATGTCCCAGCTCTTGCATAAATGCTACTTGCTTATAACTGTAAGGTAAAAATAGACTTAGGGGTGTTGCTGTGGTAGTTGCAGTGGGTGCTGCGTAATGCTATGTGAAAGAGACACTTTGGATCCCCAAGAGACAAGACTTAGGATCTTTGACATGCTCATTTTCTGAGGATCTAATTATCTTGCCAAAATGACTGAAATATCTTGGGGAAACTTGAAGGACAGGAAATTGCAGTGACTTGCCCCAAAGCTAAGCGGCGTGGGGCAGATCTTTGGCATCGCTGCTGGCTGTCACGGGTTCGCAACACCCCATGGAAAATCTACAGGCCCCGGGTGGGAAGAGCGACGTGGCTTATCTTCAGTTTTTGCTCAAAGATTGCATTGCAACACCAAGCCTGCAATATCCCAGCTGGTTATGAAAGATAGGGACGTTATCTGGCAAGGCCGGTGGTATCCACTGTGTGTGTGGCAGCAGGCACTGGGCTGCTCCGCAGGTGTACCCCAGCAGTGTATGCTGGCTCTGCGATAACTCAGCTGGGAGCACAGCAGCGTTCGGAGCCTGGGGTGGGTTTTTACGCTCGATTACGAAGCAGGACCCCTTTCTCCGAAAAGGGTAATCGGGAAAGCACAGAAGTGACTTACTGCTTCACCCAAACTGCCTCCCATCTGTACGCTTCCCGCTCCAGGGCTCTTGTTTACATGGGCTTTGCCAGTCTGGTCCCAAATCCTGCTGGGTCCCAGCTGCGTGTCCTGGAAAAAAGAACAGTGCTGAGGAGAGCTACTCTCAGATAAACAGCTATTGTTGGGGCTGCAGCATTTGTTAGTACTTTCCAAGTGCTGCAGTGTAGAAAAGGCACCAATGCCAGCAGCATGCTGAGATCATGATAGCGAGGCCAGAGCTTGTCGGCAACTATTGGGCATTTACTTTACTGTCACACAACGTTTATGAGAGTCAATGAGCAACTCACCTGCTTTGCCCTTCCTGGCCAGGACTGTCTGCTGAGGGCGATGTGTGGGTGAAGGTACAAAGTAACAGGAAATAAAGGTTATGTTGATATTTTGTACTGTGAATTGTTTTTTAAAAAAAATAATCGAAGGAGTTTTGCCTTCAAGCTGACGGTCTCCCTTGAAATACAGCATCCTTTGTAACAGTGAGGTTACAGCACTGGTCCAAGTCCTTGCACAGGCTGGAGTGTCCCTGGCATGAAATGTCTCATTAGCCACATTTTAGTGTTGACATCCATGGCAGGGAGTGCTTCCCTGACGCGGGCAGGTCTGAACACGCAGCTTTCGCCCTGTTGACAGCAGTGCCCTGGGCTGTGGCTGCTGCCTCTGGGACCAGGAATGGTTGTAAAAAGGGTCTGATGCAGCCTGGGCACTGGCACGAGTACAGCAGCTCTGGAGGTTGCTGTGTGTAAAATCGGGGTGTCCCTGCTGACCGTGCACATGTCTCTCTGCAGGTGAGCGATGAGATGGTGGTGGAGCTGATTGAGAACAACCTCGACTCCCCTCCCTGCAAGAACGGCTTCCTCCTGGACGGCTTCCCACGCACAGTGAAGCAGGCTGAAATGGTACATGGGCTCCTGTTCGGGGACTGCTCTGGCATTTCCTCCTTCCCAGGAGATCGGGTCCCTTGGCTGTGCCTCTGTCCCTCTGAGCTGGGTTTTTCTGTTGCAGCTGGATGAGCTCTTGGAGAAGAGGAGAGAGAAGCTGGACTCCGTCATTGAGTTCAGCATTCCTGACTCCTTGCTCATCCGAAGAATCACTGGACGGTAATTCTCTCCCAAACACTCAGTGCACGGGGTGGGGTTTCCTAGTTTAGGGGAGAGCACCCTGATTTTGGATCCTCATGTCATTCTCACAGTCTTTAGGGCTAGCTGCGTTGCTGGTCTGTATTAGATTTCTGTTCTGTTCGAGCCTTCCTGCCCTCATCCCTTGCCTGCTGTCCCACGCCTGGGCCAGCCTTGAACAGAGCCCCTTTGCTGCCCCGTAAAGAGGGGTTGCTGATATGAATCACAGTCCTTGGTGACCCAGCTCAGCCTTTAAGCCCAGTGTCTGACAGCTGATGTCGTCGTGCTGTTGCTGGAACAATAGCTTCTCAGGACATCACGTACACGTGCAGGTACTGCTGAACGTCCTGTCCAGGGTCAGTTGTGGTCGTGCAGGCACACAGACGTCTCCCACTATTTCCTGTTGCACTGTGTTACCCTCGCACCTCCAGGAGCTAGCCCCCCTTACCAGCAAAGCATAAAGAAAAAAATCCTTTCTCCATCTCATAGCGCAGCTGCTTTTTTCAAGTGCCTAAAGAGGCCCTTGGTACAGAAATAGATAGAAGAGTTTTTTCTTAATAGAGAGAGGCTAATCGGGTTGCTGTTGCAGATGTGTCTGTGCTGATGAGTGGCAGGTTCAGGAGACCTTCTCCTGGCACCAAGCTACTTTGATGACACTTGGTTTCTGTCTTAGGCTGATTCACCCAGCGAGTGGCCGCTCTTATCACGAGGAGTTCAGACCCCCGAAAGAGCACATGAAGGACGATGTATGTGAGCTCCCAAGGCCATAGCTTGTGTTGGTTTGGGTTTAGCTGATGCTTTGCAGCATCCCTGGAAAAACTAATTTCTTTCCTTCTGTCCTGGTTTTCTGGGGAGCGTGAGGAACTACCTGGGCAGCCTGAGCTGATGGCGCTGCGGGGAAAGAAGCCTGGAGGGATGAGTGAAAGGCATAGCCGTTCTGCAGAGCCAGCCCAGGCTCTGCCAGCCTCAGAACTTGCTGGACTCTGTCCATAGCTGAAGTTGTGGTGGGTTGTGACTGGTTTCCTTCCTGGGGAGCAGCTGTAGCTGGTGTCTGCTCTCAAGACTCCTTGGGCACCTTTTAGCAAGCAGAGTGGCATGTGGGGGAAGAATCATGATGCTGAATCCTTCTCTCTTCAGTGACTGTTCTGGGACTTGTTTTGGCTGCCCTGGGTTTGCCCCGCTCTCCCCTGCGGACCTGGGGATTGCCTCTGCAGCTCCACACTGTAGCCTGTCTTGGAGGAGGGGAGCTGGGGTTATCATAGCTGTGGAGAGAAGGGGGGAGTGTGCCAGGCTGCAGCTAGCTGGAGACTGTCCCCTTGCTTCTCCCAGGTCACTGGAGAGCCCCTCATCCGCCGATCGGACGATAACGAAACAGCCTTGAAAACCCGCCTGAAGGCCTATCACACGCAGACCTCTCCCCTGGTCTCCTACTATAGCAAGCGAGGGATCCATACGGCGGTGGATGCCTCCCAGTCTCCCGACGTCGTGTTTGCTAGCATCCTGGCAGCCTTCTCGAGAGCAACATGTAAAGACCTGGTTATGTTCATTTAGGGCTCTGTCCCAGGACAGAGCTCTCCCTTTTCTCTCTCTCTGTCTCTCCGTCTCTGTCTCTCTGGGGCCAGGGAGGGTGGAGAGCTAAGCAGAATAGAGAAGGAGGGACAAGATGATGCAGCCCAAGGCAGGGCTGCGCTAATTCTCTATTAAACAAGCTGTTAACGGTCTCTATCTTGGTATATGTGAATGTCAGTCTGTCTGCGGATGCTGGAGATTTGGCCCCTAGAGGTCGCAGCGAGCCCAAGCACCAGCTGTGTGCTGCCAGAATTGGGGTTTGCACCCCTTTGTTAAATTCTAGAGCTGTAGCTCCCTGGAAGGAGCTGTACTTTCAGCTCCTCCCGGCTGCTCCACAGGGGACTAGCAGAAGGTTGGAGATCAGGACTGAGCAGCAGGGAGAAGGACCTCCACAGGGTGCCAGATAGATGATCTCTGTTGGCTACAGGAAATGAAACTCGGGGTTGCTTGTGGGAAGCATGTGAAGGGCTGTGTGTGTGTCGGCCGTGTGAGGGACAGCTTGGCTGTGTCTGTGAGTGCAGCCTGCCGCTGCTCGGGGCTGGGTGAGAACTTGTTCTTGTCATATGTATCTTATTCGCTGTGGGATGGCAGGTTACCTGAGAGCACAGCCTGTTGTCTTCACATTCTGATGGGGCTTGTGGGGCAGAAAGAGGGTGGGTGAGAGCTTGGGGTCTTCAGCCTCTCCTCACTTGTGGACCCCAATGTAGCAAATATTAGTGAGATGCTTTTTTTTTTTTAACATGAAGTCTCTGGTCAGAGTCTGACAGTAACTGTGTATGTGGCAAGTTGGGATTTCCTGAGGACAAGAAAAGGACTTGGGTTTTCTCTTCACTCTTGCCTTGGCTTTGGCCAAGGAAATGAAGATGTTTTGAGCTTCTCGTGATCCCAAAGTCTAAATAAAGCCTTATTGCAAAACAAATGATTTTTCAAGGCTTGACAGACAGTGTTATTAACCACTGGCTTCATGTGCCCTTGAGCCAACAACCTTCGTTGTGAGATCATGGAAATGTACTTGTTTCTTGAGCAAATCAAACAGCTCTGTTGGGCTGACCTTGCAGGTGACCCTGTAAGGCTGGTGATGGCCTTTGCCCATGCAGGATTCCAGCCCTTCCTAGAGGACCCCGCCATAAATGCAGATTGGCCCAGATGAAACTTTGCCCTTTGGCCTTCCGTGTATGTTTACTGATTTAGTGTTACTGAGTACCTTCCTCTTTCGAGGAGGTCTCCCTCCTGCACACTGAGCTGCTGTGGGCTGTTTGTGTGCAGAGCATCCCTTGCTCTTTTTCTGGATAATTTCTCTTTTGTCTGAAAATAGTTGTCTATCTTTGTACATCCTTTCTGGGGAAACAACATCTTCCCTTCCAGCAAACTGGAAATAACACCAGGAACTGAAAGCAGTTGACTTGTTGCTCTTGAAAGCACGTGACTGCAGCGAGAGAGGGTTTGAAAATAAACGGTGCTGGTTTTGTCAGCAGCCTGCAGTCCCCTGAGATTGTTCAGATAGCCGTTGCCTTGTTGATCGTCTCTGGTTTTGCCGTGAAAGGGCAGTCCTGGCGCATGGCGTCAGCGAGCTGGGAGGTTGGGATAGCATTTAGCATAGAACTGCTGTGCTCTAGAGTAGCAGAAAGTGTGTTAGAGCTGTCCTGGCACCTCAATGACTGTAAAGAAATTCTGAGTGGAAGCAGCTTTTATTTTGGCATCTCAAGAGAGACAAAGAGGAGAGCTGCAGCCCGCTACATGCTGCCATAATGGCAGGAGGGGTTCTGGGCCAGTTGGTGTTCCTGTGGTTACTCCACAGCGAGAACAATGTGTTCTTCCACTCTCCATTCCTTTTCCCCGTTGTGCTCACTTTGCATCCAGCTCGCCAGCCTTTTTCTGCCATAAACCATGATTAATTTTGTTTTTTTTTCCCTAAATCTATTTTTTTCTTTGTTCCCATTTATTCCAGCTGAGTGACTCCGTGAACCAGATGAGAGACCACCAAACGCTGCACACTGCTACACCACCCATTGCAGCTCTTCCCTGGGTGCAAGGGAGGCAGGGAGGGAAGCTGGGAGGGGGTTATGATTGATGGGAGGGGAATAAGGAGGTGGTAGACAAGGGGCTTGGGGGCTGATTTCGTTGGGTTTTGTTTGGATTTCTTATTCAGGAGAATCATTGTGAAGAGGAGACGGCCTTCTCCTTAGAAATCACAGTTTGGGGAGACAAAACAATTGTACAGTGTGAAACATCTCTGCCAGTGATCAGACGCAGGTCCTTGACCTGTTAGGAGGGTAGGGCTAGATGCCGTTCCAGGCTTCTCCAGGACTTTCAGGGCTTGTCTTATGGGCTTTTAGTACTCCGAGGCCGCTGCAAGGTTTGCTGTGATTTTTTTTTTTTCTAAAGTTGCTTCCTGTCAGCAAGGACCAAAATGAACAAATGACTCATCATGTCTGAAATGGAAAGGAAAAAAAGATGCCATGGTCTTTTCCTGGAAGCTTTGTTTTTCTTGTTCCGCTGCATTCCTAAACCCGGGCGTAGAGACCTCGCAAGGTTTCTCTGCTGCTGAACAGAGGGGCTGCGGCTCTAGTCCAAGCCTGCCTTACTTGGCAATGGGCTGGCTTTTCTGTGATCTTGACCAAACTGGAATTCACACAATTCTGAAGAAATGCAAAAGAGACTTTCTTAATTGGCTGCAAAAATAACACTTAATTGGGTTTTTTTTGCATTTCTTTTTAGATCAAATGGTGCCTTGTCTAACCTCTGAATCAATAATAAAATAACCCCTTTACATTTTGTATCTGTTGCTGTGTCCTCTTTGACCTGCAGACAGTGTGGAAGATGGGAGGAGGCGGATGACAGCATAGCCAACTAACAATTGAGCTGGGTGGATCCTTGGGCCTGATCCCATCTCAAGGATGTTGCTCTGTGCAGTTGAAAATGTGGCTTGTAATTCCTTTTATCTCTTTTAACTTGCTGAGTGTGTTCCAATGCTTTATATCGCCATAGCAATGGTGTCTTGCTGCTTTTCTCTCTCTTGTTTCTTCATGCGTGATGCTGAAAGCACTGAGCCCCTCTGTATCCTGACCCTTCCTGATCAGAGCTCCTTTGGGGCATTTTTAATATAATTCTTAGCCTTTGCCCCCTCCCTTCTCATCGCTAGTGTGTGGAGGAGCTGGTGTTATTTCCTTCTCTCCTCCTGCAGTAATCGGAAGCCACATATTGTGTCTTCTGTTTCTGCTCATTTGCTTTCTGCCTTTCATACCTTGTTGCATCCCTCCCTTCCCCTCCACAGTGCCTCTCTTTACGCAGGGCAAAATCTCTAACGCAAGAAACGTTTCCTGGCCTGTCTTGATCCTGCCTCCGCAGGCACCCTGCCCCTGGCGCTCTGAGTATCTCAGGCTGTTTGATGTGCTGATGGAGGGTGGTGGTTTTTCTGCAATGCCCTTAGTATCCCCCTTGCAGCCCTTGGGGCTTTGGTTTAGGCACTGTGGACAGGCACCAGAAAGGGTCTGGCTGCATGTGCTCATTTCCTCCAGAAATCTTTCTTCAGCATAATTGGGCGCTCCCACTCCTCCGCCATTCAGTCTCTCTGTGCTCTGGTGTTTTTTATTACCTCTCTCTACCTCCGATTAGCATTCTTTCTCTTTTTGAAGGCAAGCTTGTGCCTCTCTGTGTTTTGTGGTGCTCTTCCCTTGTTTCTTTTGATTATGGATGTTAAACTGCTCTTCCTCATTTGGGATTGTGTCCTCTGCTACTTGCCTGCTGTTGTTTTAAAAACCTGTTCTGCCTGCTCCTCCTGGCTTTCTAGTAGGTGGGATGGAGAAGTCTTGGCTCCTCTGAGCTGAGCTGCTTCCGTTTGATCCTTACCTAAATGTGGAGTGTGAAATTAATTGTTGGGGTGCTGTGGGAAAGGCTGCTGTGCGGAGGCTGTTTAGCTCAAGCTTACGTCCTCTGTAGTTGGATCTGTTCTGTGACCTGTCTGTGTCACGTTGACCTTGAATGTTTTCCACAGCATGTGATGCTCTGCAGGTGCTGTAAATTCCTTCTGTTCAATGATTTCACTCCAGCAAGCTGCTTATCAGGCACTCTTTTGAAAACTGTGTTCATATTTCATGCACACAATTATTCAGCAACTATAAAAGGGGAAAATTCCTATTTATAGCACAAGGACCAGCATCAAATAGGACACTGAATTCTCACTGATAGAGGAAGTGACCTGTTCTCTAATGCAGCAATATTTCTGTTGAAAAGAAACAGCATCTTGGATGAGGGGGAGGGATGAAAAGCCCTGGGCCATATCTTTACATTAAAAATGTGCTGCAGTCCTAAAAATACAGTATCTGCCCTTCTCCCTTCCTGATGAAACCGTCTGCAAAAGAGAGATTGCAGAAACAGCTTTCATTGTGGATTTGTGGTTAGTAATGAGTCCACTGGCTCCTGATGGTCTGGTTTGGAGCTGGTCTTAGGTTTCTGATCGACACCTGATCTCTGACCTTGACCTGGGAGCGAGGAGAAGTCACTACGGAGTGCCTGCTGTGGACAAGTAGCGCAAATCCCTTGTCTGTAGAGTTTGTACAATCACAGTACACACGTGCACAGCCCTGAAACAAAGAGCACGTGGAGCTGAGGAACAAAGAGCTGGCTGAGAGCAATGAATGGAGGGGGTGGAAAGGGGGGAAGAGCGCTGCGGACACCGGTGGTAACTGCTGCGGAGAAGGTGAGTGCCTGTGTTGTCTGAGCCCGCTTCCCACGACTGCCTCTGCTCTCCCTTCCAGGTATCTTTTCCCCCAAGGCTGTCGCTGGCCTTTGCCTGGCGCTGTCCCCTGTTGTCACCCTGTCCTTCCCGTGGTCTCCAGGCTCTTTAGGAAGAGCTGCAGTGGGCGATAACCAAGCGAGGCCCCTGGGAGGTGGAGGACCAGAGGATGGGATTCCCTCTCCTGTCACTGTGGCAACGGTTGGGAAGGGAAGCAGCAGCGGGGTGTGATGGGCTGCGTGGCGTGGAGGGGTGTGATGGGGAGGCTGCGGAGGCAGGGCTGCGCTGACATCACGCCGGGGAGGTGGCGCGGAGGGAAGGGGAGTGGGAAAGGGAGAGCCAGGGAGACTGCGGAGGGAAGAGCTGCATCGGGAGTGGGCTCCAGGGCAAGGTAAGAGACATTCCAGAGGCAGCGGGTC